ATGAGGGGCTTGATCCCAGGACCCCGAGATCATGACCTGAGCCAAAGGCAGAGGCTTAACCCACTGAGCCACCCAGGTGTCCCCAACCTGGAGTTTCTTAAACAAATGAAGGAAAAATATGTTTTAAGTAACTCACTTGAAATGCTGTTTAAAATGTGTGTGTAGGGGCGCCTGGGTGGCTCAGTGGTTTAAAGCCTCTGCCTTCAGCTCGGGTCATGATCTCAGGGTCCTGGGATCGAGTCCCGCATCGGGCTCTCTGCTCAGCAGGGAGCCTGCTTCCTCCTCTCTCTGCCTACTTCTGATCTGTCTCTGTCAAATCAATCAATCAATCAATCAATCAATCTTTTTTTAAAAAATAAATAAATAAATAAATAAAATGTGTGTGTAAACTTACAAGAATTTGATTTTCGCCTCTTACTGTCGTTAAGTAGTCCTTGAGCTTTATCAGATTAAACATTTGGGATTTTACGATGTGTGCTTGAGAGGGCCACCTAGTGGTTTCTTTTTGGTACAGCAGGTCTTACTATTGCGCTACCTTTTGATCTGATTAGAATAAGCTAATATTTAAATTGTTTATGTACCAAATACGTGTGAGTTATCTCTTCTGTATAGATTCAACTGTAGGTAAACTGGGTGTTTTTACATCATCTCTGTAACTATTTTATTTTATTTTTTTAAACAGAAGAAGCAGACTACAGTGCCTTTGGTACAGACACACTAATAAAGAAGAAGAATGTTTTAACCAATGTATTGCGTCCTGACAACCATAGAAAAAAGCCACACATAGTCATTAGCATGCCCCAAGACTTCAGACCTGTGTCTTCTATTATAGACGTGGACATTCTCCCAGAAACACACCGTAGGGTTCGTCTTTACAAATACGGCACTGAAAAACCCTTAGGGTTCTACATCCGCGACGGTTCCAGTGTCAGGGTCACGCCACATGGCTTAGAGAAGGTCCCAGGGATCTTTATATCCAGACTTGTCCCAGGAGGCCTGGCTCAAAGCACAGGACTACTAGCTGTTAATGATGAAGTTTTAGAAGTTAACGGCATAGAAGTTTCAGGGAAGAGTCTTGACCAAGTAACAGACATGATGATCGCCAACAGCCGCAACCTCATTATAACGGTGCGACCCGCAAACCAGAGGAATAACGTGGTTCGGAACAGTCGGACTTCCGGCAGCTCCGGCCAGTCCACAGATAACAGCCTCCTGGGCTGTGTTCAGCAGGTAGAACCAAGCTTTGAGCCAGAGGACGAAGACAGTGATGAAGATGACATTGTTATCGAAGGTAACGGAATGCCGCAGCAGATTCCTAAAGCTGTTCCTAATACGGAGAGCCTCGAATCTTTAACGCAGATAGAACTGAATTTTGAGTCTGGACAGAACGGCTTTATTCCTTCTAACGAAGTGAGCTTAGCACCTGTAGCAAGTGGCACAAATACAGAAATACATGCTCCGGATCAAAAACTCTTAGAAGAAGACGGAACGATCATAACACTATGAAGCCTTCGTCCGAATGTCTTTGGAGCGAGGATGCCACAGGGACTTGTAAATTTGGCTGTTCAAAGCATATATACCTCTGAACCAGTGACCTGGAGTAGGCATGAGAAAATTAATATTGCAAGCTTGAAATGTTGTTATAATAGTAGTTTGATCATTGTTAATATAAACTTCAGTTTGTCAGAGGTGAGTTTAAGTCTGAAAGGGGCCTTTGCTAATGAAATTACGTGCTTTTGTTACTTTGTCTCTAGAGAACTGGATGTTAGAGCACATTCTCAGAACTGAGAGGACCAGATCATTTCCATTCGAAGTGGTTGCATATTTTTTAACCTGCTGTGCAGAGCCCAGTTAGCTTTTCCTTTAACTATATTTTTTTAAATTCTAATGTGAAGAAGTCTGATTCTGTCCTTTGGTACCTTAGGGACCTCAGCTCCTATGTTCCCTATATTTTATTTCGATTTTTTAATGTTGTTCCTCTGTTGTTCGTTGTTACAAGTAATTTTTTCAGATGGTTTTTTTTTTTCCCTAATATTTAAGAAATCAATCACCTGTTTTTGGGAGTCGCTTCCTACATCATAAAGCATTGAAACACCGTGTTCCTGAATTAAGAAACTGTAACTGTTGTTCAAGTTCCAAGCTTGTTCATCCCATAGTTTTCACATTCACAGACTCACTCCATGTGCGTATAACTTAATGTTGCAAAAGGCAACCCCATCAGCTGGTAATACCTGAGACTCCCTTCATCTCTTTCTCACCCGCACCCCCATCTCATTGGAAATCATTCCATTTGTTGTTGGTGTGTGTTTCGTGGGTGCGCTTTTATACTCTGCTATGTATTTGAGTAGTGGGAATCATTTTGGATTTAAAAATGCACCCAAATTAAGAGATTTTTACACGCATGACACACTTGTGCACTTTTTTACATGAGATGATTTGGTTTTTCCCCTCATGGGATTTCTAGGAACACTACCTATACTTTACGAGAAAAGATAAGACTATTCACCTTGGACAGGTAGAGTGTATTGCTACTAATTTTATGAGGCTATTTATTACTTTCCAGGGCATCCACTTAGAACAAGTGAAGGGTGAGGCTGCTGACTTCCATCCCTCGCCTGACTTCCCTGTCCAACACGCATGGGCACCGCAGTAGGCCTGTATGTAGAAACCCAGGATTGCGGGAAGCGCTTAAGTCCCCTGTGGCTTATGGCTCCTTCTCTCAGAGTTATTTATTAATTCATTTTACGGTAGGGCGAGAATGGGTACCTTCGTAACAGTTGCGTGCTGGGGAAGCAATGAAGAATTCAGTGACTCCGTTTTGAAGGATATTTTCTCTCTAGGGTAAAGATATATGAAGAAGTCTTGGACTGAAGGAAGGTCACTTGACTCAGAATACTTAATGTATTTTGTTCACGTTACCACTAAACAGATTATCGCTGAACTGTTAACTGCACAACGTTATGTAATGCAATGTACTTTTTTTGTTGAATTCACCCAATTTCTTCCACTTCTATATCACCATTTGCTAATGGCATTCCAGCTTTAACCTTCTGTGAGGTATAGAAATTTGACTCTAGAACAGCAAAATGTTAACATGTAGGTTAAATTTCATTTATATTATAAGTGGTGCAGGGGTTCAACATTTTAAGTAAAAATCCTTTCACACACTACCTCTCTCTCTCTCTCTCTCTTTTATTTTTTAACAAAGTTTTAACATCTGAACTTTTCTCTTGGAGGAAGAATACTTCAGGGCTTGACTTTTTGTACAAATTTTAACTATTAAGTACAGATTTGTCTTGTATGTATTCATGAAAATGGAAATCAAAGCTGCTAGTGCTTTTTATTTTAATTATCCTGCTAAAGAGTATATGTCAGTGCTGTTAAAACTAGATTTCTCATTTAAATTATTGGTGAAATAATTGATTACTAGACATATTGTAAAACCAATAGTTCTTGGTTATACAATAAAATGTCCGTTCATTGGTAGTCTGAATCGGTTATTCTAAGTGTACCTTATTACCAGAAATATCAGTGGATTCAGCGTAAGGTTTTATAGTACTAAATGTCAAGCCTAACTGTGAATTTGTTCTGTATCTTGAGTAAATTTATGATAATGTTCTCATGAGCTATCAACAAAATATATGTACTTTTGTGAACTATGAATTTTCTAATTAAATTTTACATGCGACAACATGATTTTTACATGAATGATACTTTGTTTAAACTCTCAAATGTCAGTATTTTACTACAATTTTATTATAAAATGTACATTATCACTAAATGAACTTTGATTTTAAAAATCAATTTAGCTTTAGTTGTATATTATTTTTTACAAATAAAGATAGACTTGTATAAAGGCTACTTTCTTGTTTGCAAATATATGAAAAATGACCCAACAAATACTTACCAAGCACCAATATGATAGAAAATGAGTGGGAAGAAAATTGCTAAGTTATAACAATGTCCTGGCTTCCTCAACTTTTAATTTTTTAAAAGATAAACACCAAGTTGTGGATACAGCGACTGTGGCTGTGTATGAGCTTATGATTACAGACGGGAAGGTAGTATTTAAAATGTAGTTACGCTGGTCGTGTGAGAGGTTATGTATGACACTCGTGCAGAGAGGTACCATTTGCAATAAGATCATTTGCAACAAGACAAAACTAGTTTGTGATGGGACAGTGTATCTTCTGAGATTCAAATTCACTTAGCCATGCTGTTTATTACCACCCTGTGTGGTACTGCCCGTGCAGGTCAGGTTGCGGTTATCCTGGATGACGGAAGAGCCCTGAGCTAGATCGGACCCTCCTACTGAACGATTTCTAATCCCGAATTCATCACTGTCATTGGCTTAGCCGATCTCCGCTCTAACTCTGTCAACCAGAGTGGAGGATAATCCTTCTGATGCCTTCCCCCAATTTAAAAACAGATTGGGGGACACCGGGGTGGCTCAGTGAGTTAAAGCCTCTGCTTTCCGATCAGGTCATGATCCCAGGGTCCTGGGATGGAGCCCCGCATCGCATGGGGCTCTCTGCTCAGCGGGGAGCCTGCTTCCCTTCCCTTCTCTCTCTGCCTACTTGTGATCTCTGTCTGTCAAATAAATAAATAAAATCTTTTAAAAAAATTAAAATAAAAACAGATTGGAAATCCTTAGAGTTGAAACTCAACGTCATCTATGTAGAACTCTTCACATCACTGATTGGTAGAGACCATGTTGCATTCAGGACCCGATACTCTCTGGGTTTCAGGATCCGAGGAACAATGGTATGGAACTAAAACACCACCCACCCCCGCCACCAAAATATGGCCCCAGTGTCATTTGAATCTTAAATCCCTACTGCCTCCAAGCCTTCAGTTCCGGGCAAAGAGCTAAGTTTGATTTTGAGGAAAAAACAAGTTTGCAAGGCAAAATTAGCCCCTCCGTTCTGATTGTGTAGCCTTCAAGTGCTCGGACAAACAGCCACAACTGGGTGTGCTTTGATCTTCCCGTCTTCTGGATTGACGAGAGTTTGGTCGTGGGCGATGAAGCTTTGAGAGTGTGTAGGTCAGTGATTCTGCAGACGAGCTCGTACGCAGAGGTTTTGGCGTGTCCTCTGACACTGAAGTGTTGACAGTATGACAGCATATCACTTAGTGACGGCTCTTCCCGGCAGGAAAAAGCAGACTTCCGGTGTCTCCTGTGTGTCATTGGGGGGTGACTGACGGACTGCTAGAAGGTAAATATAAAGGAAATTACTTCACTGGATTTAATCGTTTGAAAGTCTATAATCAGTATATAGTTTTTCTCTAAAAACCATGTATGACTTAGGTAATATTTTAAAAGAATGTTTTCCCTAAATCTTACTTTATAAAATTTGTGTATTTTATAAATTAATACTAAAATTCAGTAGAGTTCATATATTTTTTAAAGATTTTATTTATTTGACAGAGGTCACAAGTAGGCACTCTGCCTACTCTGCAGGCAGAGAGAGGAGGAAGCAGACTCTCCGCTGAGCAGAGAGCCCGATGCGGGGCTCGATCCCAGGACCCTGGGATCATGACCTGAGCCAAAGGCAGAGGCTTTAACCCACTGAGCCACCCAGGCGGCCCTAGAGTTTGTATTTTATTTACAATCTGTATTTAGTTTTCCCATTTTTAATAAGATTTTATTTGAGAGAGAGTGAGTACAAGCAGGGGGAGGGGCAGAGGGAGAAGCAGACTCCCCACTGAGCAAGGAGCCCGATGCAAGGCTTGACCCCAGGACCCCGGGATCATGACCTGAGCTGAAGGCACATGCTTAAGGACTGAGCCACCCAGGTGCCCCTAGTTTTCCCATTTTAAAGAAACCTCTCTTTCAGAAATGGTATTTATTCCAAAACCAATGTTCTTCATGTAATATGAAATAACTCTTTTCTAGTTTATTATAATTAGCTAGTTCATTATAATCCCAAGGGATGGATAACAAAGTTACTTAATGTAGTATTAGTAAAGGTAATTTTGAAATTTTTTTCAATTATACGAATAATATGTAAATTCATTCTTGTTATTTAAAAAGAGGCTAAAGTTCTTTTTTGGCCATCAAGCATACTTATGTATACTGTACTTTGTTATAAGAAGGAGTTCACACATTTAAAGTAAGAGTGAGCATTTAAAATAAGAGTGACTATAATTTATAATCCAAATCAGGACTCTTCTGAGTGACTGAGTTTGCTATTAATTCTATGGACAGGACAGGTTGATAAGCATGAACTGGTGTCTCACGTAAATTAGAATGTGAGTCACCCTATTGAAGATACTCTAGTAGAACAGCTTTCAAACTTTTTTTTTTAAACTAACCCACAGTAAGAAATGCATTGGTCCTTATGATTCAGTACACAGATATGTGTATGAATGTGTGCATACACACACACACACACACACACACACACACACACGTGTATGTATAAAATTGCAGGTGTCACAAAGTGAAATTTTATTATGTGAAAATGCTCTGTTTTTTTTATTCCATTCTTTAAAATGTTTATTAGGACAACCCAAAACAATGTCAGGATGCACTATTTGAAAAACACTTGTGAAACACTTTGCTTTCCACTTGAAAGACTTGCCATAGAACATACTAGTATATATTTTTTTTTTCTTAAGGGGGATGGGGAAGCACTATTGCCTTCATGCTTTTATATTTGGAAATCACTTCAGAAATGGCAAAGAGCTGCATGGAAGTTTGGCTGACACCCCTCACCTAGATGATACCCACATTTGCTTTATCTCTCTGCAGTTTCTCCTGAAACATTGGAGAATTGGTTGCAGAGAACACAGCCCCTTAACCCCCTAAAGACAAGCACACATTTCCCAAGAACACAGATATTCTCTTACACATTCCTTCATACAACCAAAGTTCATTTATCGAATTCAGAAAACGTAACAGTGATACAAAAATATCTAATATACAAGCCATACGGGAATCTCACCAGTTGTCCCCCAAATGTCCCTTACAGGAAATGTCCCCGGATCAAGGTCCGTCCAGAATCAGGCATCGCACTTAGATGGCACATCTCTGCTCTCCTTTCATCCAAAACGTTTCCTTGGCTTTTCTTTGTCTTTCATCGCAGTGAAATTTCTGAAAAGTAAAGACAAACTTTTTGCAGACTGTTTCTCAATTTGGGTTTGTCTGTTTCCTCATAATTAGATTCAAGTTACACGTTTTGGGCCAGAATACCACGTATATGATGTTACATCTTCTTTGTACCATGTCAGGAGGCACAGCATGTTGGTTTATTTCAACGCTGCTGATGTAAAAGCACTTAAAAAATTTTTTGTGGGGGGGGGGACGCCTGGGTGGCTCAGTGGGTTAAAGCCTCTGCCTTCGGCTCAGGTTATGATCCCAGCGTCCTGGGATCGAATCCCGCATCGGGCTCTCTGCTCAGCAGGGAGCCTGCTTCCTCCTCTCTCTCTGCCTGCCTCTCTGCCTAGTTGTGATCTCTGTCAAATAAATAAAATCTTTAAAAAAAAAATTTTTTTTTAAGTTTCTATTTATTAGCTCGAGAAAGCAAGAGGGGGTGGGGGAGGAGAGCAGAGGGAGAGGGAGAAGCAGTGTTTTATGCTGAGCACTGACCCTGATATGGGGCTCGATTCCACGACCCGGAGATCATGACCTGAGCCAAAACCAAGAGTCCGACCCTTAAATGAGCCACCCAGGTGCCCCAAAACACACTTTTTTTTAAAAAAAGATTTTTTATTGGAGAGAGCAGAGCAAGCAGGAGAGAACACAAGGCGGGGAGGGGCAGAGGGAGAAGCAAGCTCCCCGCTGAGCCGGGATGACCCTGAGATCATGACCTGAGCCGAAGGCAGACACTAAACCGACTGAGCCACCCAGGCACCCCACACGTTTTTTGTTTTTTTTTTAAGTTGATTTTTTTTTTTTTTTTTAGTAATCTCTACACCCAACACAGGGCTCAAACTCGGGACCCCGAGACCAAGGCACGTGCTCTTCCGACTGAGCCCACCAGGAGCCCTGTAACACTTGCTAATGGGGGAAACTGCTTTCGTTCTAAGTCGTCCACGATTCTAATTATTCTTAGGCTAACAGACACGTATGGTGCTTAGAAAAGACATCTG